CACACACACACACACACACACACACACACACACACACACACACACACACAAAGGGGGTCCGAAAGGGGGTCTGAAATCCCCCGGCAGGTGAGTGCGCTGGGGGGCCCGGCTCCCAACCGGGTGCCCTGCCCGGCCAGGACGCTCGGGACCTCCCCCGGGCCCCTGCCTGTCACCCGGGCGGCCCGGATCCCCACTCACCAAATAGGAAAAAAAACAAATAAAGACAACTCTCTCCGCCCTTATGAACCCCATTTTAACCCGATTTACACCACCCTGCATTGAGCCTCACTGCTCGTCACCTTCAGCACACACACACATTGAGAGTTCACACGAAATCCACACTGGAGACCACAGATGCAAAGTTCAGATAAGCGCAGCTTGGAAATTACAACAAATTATCATATTGAGCAGTTTCAGAGTTCCGGCCACCAGTGCTCATCAGCGCAGAGTTCAGCAACCCATATGCAGCGTTCTCATCCAAGGTAGGTGACTCTCTTCTTCTCCCTCTCTGTCTCTCTCTCTCCCTCTCTCTCTCTGTCTTCCTCATGGATGCGCTCATTCTCTCCCTCTCTCTCTCTCTCTCTCTACTTGAGGATCTTGAGTCTGAATACATCCGCTAGTTCTCAGCTCTGCTCCCTACTACTAGCTGAGCGGCTATGCCTGCTTCCTTCCTCCACACAGCGCTGCCCCTCCTGGGCTCCAGCACTAGCTACCCGCAGACAGCGCACAAGTGCCAGCAGCACTTCCACACTTCTTGCGAATGAGCATTCTGTCTGAAATGTGGCTGGCCAGTCCTTATATTGACTTAGACTCAGCCTGGACTCATCCCAGCCTCTGTTTCCTTTATAGCTTGACTTGGAACGGGTACCACAGGCCCACAACCTGTTTGCTTCAGAATGTCGAGGCCTGGTACCTCCCTGAATTTCCCTTGGTGCGCTGCTGCTTGGGCTTGTGAGTCACAACTTTTCTTCTGTGGGATAGGACTCTCTGTCTATGAGACATGACCTTTGCCCGTAGAACATGCCATTTGACTTCGTGATGTGACTCTTGCCTGTGGGACACGACGTTTGCCTGGGGAAGTGTCCTTTGCGTCTGGGACATGACCTTTCAACATGAGACGTGACTTCTGCTTATCGAATGTCACCTTTGCCTCTGGGATGTGACTGTTGACCTCTGGGGCACCCGACTTGGCTTCTTTTGGCCCTGAGATTCGAATTTGACCCTGAGATTCGAATTTAAGGTCTGCATCGTGGAATGCCTTTCAATACAAACCATGATCAGATTCAATTGTCAAGTTGGATTCTGACTACTCAGGCCAAGCGCAGGTCTGGCTGGGGGCTGACAACTTTTTTTTTTACATTTTCCAAATTTTACGGTATGCAGACAGTAGCCGGAGGTGTGGGATCTGACCTGCCTGGGCCGGCCTGCTTGGCTGGACATGACTGGGCAGGCAAGCCCAGGTAACATAAGTTAATAGTTCTTTGCCAGCATGTGCGGGCTCATCTAGACCACCAGATCAAAATACGTCAAAACCTCAGGAAGCCCTGAGTAGTGTACACCTAGAGCATTGTTGGCATTCCTAGTCCAAACATTTGAAATGACATAAACTAGATCCTAGAATGCTCTCTGGATGAGAGGAGTCTTAACCATTTGAAATGCGTCCTTCAGTGGTCATCACCCTTTTCAAGGTCTGTTCTAATTTCTACAACAGAATCACCATTGTCAAAATCACTCTCTCTTGGAGCAAAATACAGCTGCCATGGAAATGTGATGCATACCGAATGCTCAGAATCATTGATCTCCTCAAAGAAGCGAAGACCTGCATTACATCAGAACGGACAGAGCACGCCGAAAACACAGAGTTAAGCATGAGAAAGACCGGGAAGGAATACTTCATACCATGCATGCACATACAACAAACAATAATATTCAGCCGAGATGTCTATGTAACCTGTGCATGCACACCGCCAAAGAATTGCGAGGGGAGGACGGCACCACTCTCCCAAAAAACTGTTTTCGTGCATGTGAGAGCGAGGACACAGAGAGAGAGATTTATTTGTGTGTCAGAGCACAGGAGAGAGAGAGGGAGAGAGAGAGGGAGAGAGAGACAGAGGCAGACAGA